AAGGAACAATCAACCAAACTTCAATGCTTTCCACAAAAAGAACCCAAGGGACACACTCTGATCCAGGACCCAGCAGCCCGAGGTGCTCAGCAAAAACCAAGAGTTCTGATTTCAGCCTTTCTTCACATATTTACAAGGTTTTCCAGCTGTTCCCAGCAGCAGGAGTGGGACTGATGGAGATCTCAGCTGGGGACGGCCACCAGTGCTGTCAGATCACTTTTGATACAACCTGTGGCCAGACTCTGTCCCTTCTCCTCCAAAACCAAACCAAAACTACATCATCCCCCACTTCCCCCTCCACTCTGGCCCCTGCTCCCAAGGGATTCCACTGTCACTGTCACCACCACCGCCCAGCCAGGGCTCTCCCCACTTCATGAAACACAGGCCAAGGTTTGGCAGAGGGAAGAGGGAAAGGGGGATTTTTTAAGACACAATTCTCTGGGATTGCCCCATCGGGGAATGGGGTCCCGGTGGGGGCAACTCCCCGGCCAGGATGGGCAGTGGATCCCACAGAGGAGAGAGGGATGGAAGGTGCTACTCGGGGGAAGCAGGGCTGGGATGGGGRCRCGGGGGGAGCACCCGCTGGGGCACRTCTCTGCCGAGGGAAGCAGCTGGTTCAGAGCCCTGGAAGCAGAACCACCTCGGGGTGCCGAGGGTGGGAGGGGAGCTGGGACACCCCACTCCACTCCAGCCCAAATTCCTGCCCTAAAACACCACAAACCCAACAATGTGGCACCACATGATGCTCCCATCCCGCTCAGGGCCAGCGCAGCAGCCAGGCCACCAGATCCCCCCAGAGCCACCAGAGCYCCCCAAAGCCACCRGATCCTCCCAGGCCAYGGGGCCCCATCCCTGCTCTGCCCCTGCCCCTGCCCGCTCCTCGTCAAGGCACTTTAGCAGAGCAGCTCCCTCGCTCTTTGGGCACTTCCTAATGCGGGATTTGGGGCCCTGGGGACAAGTGGGAACAGCCCAGGCAGGAACAGCCCCGCCGGCCCCACTCCTGCTCCCTGAGCAAAAGCAGCTACTGCTGGAAGGAAAAGAAAGTGAGGAAGGGGGGACAGCCCGAGGACAGGCARTGACAGGGCACTGCCAGCCCCCCAGGCTCACTGGCATCAGCCACAGTGCTGGCAGCTCCTCCCAGGAAGAGGAACCTGGGAATGATCCCACCAGACAGGCTCAACCCCTTCCAGTTTTGGGCAGGAGGTGGGCAAGGCAAGGGCAGGGGAGCCCGGGCTGTGGGACCCCCAGGAGCAGGACAGGGAATGCTCCTGYGCCAGGAGCAGGGTAGGGAACAGGCACAGTGGGGGCTGGTCCCCAAAGCAGGTCCCGCCGAGGGGCACTGGATTCTCCAGGTAAACCAGGAGGATGAAAGGCCTTTGGCTCAGCTCCCAGCCAAGCCAAGCMTGGTGCTCCAGCCTCTTGGGGGGCTTCCAGCCCCAAGCACCAGCCTCCTCTTGATGCCCCTGGCACGAGCTGCAGGTCAGGAACCTTTGTTTTCCAGTTTTCCTTTCCAAGGACAGCCACCTGCAGCATGCCCAGCTTGGGAGGAGGCTGCAGCTTCCCCCTGCCATCCTCWACTTTACTTCCAGCAGGCTCAGCCCCAGCCCAATGGAAATGCTTTTCTCCACGTTGGGATGCTCCAGAGGGGTCAGGGAGAGCTGCCAGGCCATGGCTGCTCTGCGTGGGRCAGGAGCAGGGTCTGGCCCCTCGCACACTGAACGCTTGAGACAGGGTGGAGATAGAATTTTTTTTTCTTTCTTTCTTTTTATAAAGAGACTAAAACAAGAGTCAACAGCTACGAACACAAAAGTTTCCAGGGGCAGCAGTGGGAGCGGGATCTGCCCCATGGCCGGCGGGATGACGTGCTGGAAGGAGGTGAYGGCGTGTGCCCGGAGGCGGCGGGCCTGAGTCCCGCCCGGAATTCACAAAAATAAAAATGTTACAAAAAAATTAAAATAATTATAATAATAATAATAGTAGTAGTAGTAAAWCGGGTTTGCCAGCTTCCTCCCTGCACAGTTGTCTGCATCTTGGCACCTTGGCAAAGCATCCTCCTCCTCCTCATCCCCCTGTGCACTCGGCTGCTCCTGGGACCGAGGCCCCGGTGTCGCTCCAGGCTCCGGGACCCCAGCGGGCACTTCCCGCAGGGACGGAGGGGTGACGCAGGGAAATCCCAAATCACAAAGGGGAGGTGGAGTCTCCAGGTTTGCCAGCGGTGTCCCGAGCACGGAAAGGCACGGCGCCCGCCCCCAGGGCCRGCCACAGTCTGGTGAAGAAGAGGAGGAGGCTGAAGGCTCACCCTCAGAGTCTCGGGATTACAAAAGCTGAGAACTACAAAACTAAATACAAAGGGGAGAATCAGCACGTGAGCGTTGAGCCCTCCGCTCCCCGGCGCCGCTCCCGGCGCTGCCCGCACYGTGCCGGGGGTGGGGGACGTTTCGCTTCCTCCCTGCGGCGCCAGCCCCGTGCCCGGCGCTCCCGCGCTGCTGCATCGGCCGTTCCCAGGCTGCTCCTCACACCTTGTAGTAAATGTTGGCTGGGCTCTGCGGGGGCATCTCCTGCACGATGTAGACGGGGTGCCCGTAGTCCCCGCTCACCTTCTCGTAGTGCGGGCAGTAGTTGTTCTCTGTAGTCCGTAAGGGGATGATGATGTCGCTGGGCTCCGAGCCCGCGTTCCCGCTGCATTTGGGGCTGGCCAAGGTGCTGAGGGACAAGGCTGCGGCTCTCTGCTGCGTGTGCTTCCGGTGCCGCTTGCGGATCTTGATCAGGAGCACGACGAGGAAGATGATGATGAGGATGAAGATGACGCAGCCGGCGCCGATGGCCGCGAACACGGCCACCTTGGAGCTCAGGAAGCCGTCGCTGGGACCTTGGGTCTCCTGGCCGTCCTGGTTGACGGAGCCTGAAAAGCAAGGGGAGAGGGGAGTCAGACAAGCAGGCAGCCAGACCCGTGCWTCATCCATGCATGGATCACACCTGTGGAGCACGAGGATGAGCTGCCCATTGGAGCCCCTCTCTGCCCCCCAAACTCAGCACAATATTCTCCTGTTGTGCTGCCAAGGAGGGGAGCCCCTCTCCTCCAAGGGGATGGCATTTGCTCCCCACCTCCTCACCCCAGTCAGACCCACATATCCCTGRGAAGGACTGGGCAGGGCAGGCTGCATCCACCCTGCATCCTCCTGCTCCCCTTTCCATCTCCCAGTCGATGGAACAGAGTGCTGCTTGTGTCCAGATGACCACTGCTCCACACCCAGGGAGCCTTYGCTCCCCACAGCAGACCTGGATTCCCTGGTGGATGTGGGCTCTGACATGCAGAGCCCCCCAGTCCCCAATTACTGATCCCCAGGCCAGGGCAGCTGCAGCCCCCRATGGGGGAGCACTCACAGCACTTCCCAGGCAGGAAGAAAAGAGCAACTCTTCCTGGCTTCATCTRATTCCACTTTGCTCTGAGGGGTCAGGAACTCAGGAAACAACCTTCAAAGGGCTTTCACACCCAAGGACCTCACCTCCTCCAARCCCTCTCAGATGTACTGTGAGGAACACATGAGAGGAGGAGGAGGAGGAASAGTGMTGAAATAGCAMTTCCCTGCAAAGCTCTGCCAGGAGCTGGAAAAACAAACCCAAGCTGCTCTGCACCCTGAGCTCAGGACCACAGCAGAACAGCAGTGACAGGCAAACTCATCCAGATCCCTGATCCAGAGAGTCTGGCGTTCCTGGGATCCCCACAACAAGCTCAGCTTGGAGCAGCTTCATTGGCCTGATGGCAGGCAGGGCCCCATCCCTTTCCTGGGGATCCCTGGAATACCCACCCGGCTTGCCAGGCTCCTCCACCGCCGGGACCTTGCTGCGGGGGCTCTGTGTGACCACCTTCACRGTGTCATCAGACTCCTTGCTCGGCCGACTCGTTGTCAGCTGCTCCGGGATCACCGCGTTTGGATCTGGGAAAGGGGAGGGATGGATGAGARGCTTTGATCCAACCTGGAAGGCAGCAGCTTATTCCCCCCTAAAGAAGTGTCCTCAAATGCCAGCCACTCCCATGGGGCACAGGGGTGCTGGGAGATGCCAAGAGCCACAGAGCATGGCTGAGCTGCTCCAGGGCTTCAGAGAAGCAGGTCCCCACCCTAATTCCCTGGTTTTCTGTTTTCAGAGCTCCCGTGCGTGGGCTGGGACAGGTTTCTTGCTYGGGCAGCGGGAGGAAGGGAAGGGAAGGGCAGGCAGGAGGCCAAGGCTGCAGCACAGCTCTGCCTGTTTATTATAAATATTGGCCCTGACGTGCAAACACAATAATGAGAAGCAGAATCAGGAGCTGTGCATCCGAGCTGGGACTGAAACGAGCCCGGAGCATTGCCGGGGCTGGGAAGCAGCTTAGGATGGAGGTGGTGGGGAGTGGGAGAAACGAGYTCCAGAAGAGCCCATTGGTGATGTCCCTGGTGTCCCACCACCACTGGAGTCCCCACAGSCTGGTGGCTGCCACAGCTGAGCCCAATCCCGATGCCTGACCAGTTCCAATTCCCTCTTGGATGCCCAGAAAGTCACAGGGGCACTGCTTGTGCCAGCCCTCCCAAGGCACTCGCAGGGCTCATGGGTTCTGTGCCGAGCTCGCTTCCCGCTGGGATATGGCCCACAGAGCAACCAGGAACAATCGTTCCCTTTCAATCCCAGTGCTCTGCATATGCACCATGTCAGCAAGAGAAAAAAGGCAGGAAGAAAGATCCTAAATATGCAATTTTTCTGAACTACCCCAGGAGTGCTCATGGGAGCAACTGGTCTGGCCTCAGTTTCCCTGGAATCTTTTGCTCCCACACCCCACTGAGGGACAGGACCCCCAGTTCAGGGGGCAGCAGAGACCCCAGGGCAGGGGAGAACTCACCCTGCCCAACTTTCATGACAATCTTCATGGAGCGTGTCTGGCAGACCCCTCCTTCCCGGTTCTCCAGGCCATCCAGAGTGCCGTTGGAAGTGGCTGCAAGAAAAGAAAGGGAATGTTAGACAGTTCCTAGGAGCTGCAAGGGCACTGTGGGGCAGCTCCTTGCTGTTCCTTGGCATTMCTGTACAGTCTCCACTGTCCCTTGGTATTGCCAGGCAGGTCCCAGCTCTCCCTGGGCACCTCCTCCCCCAGGGATTCACTCCTGAGCCCTCATTACAGCCATATCTTCATGCTCCAATCCAGAGCCCACCAAACTCCCGCCTCCTGCCCCTTCCAAAGCTGCCTGCAGCAGTGAGGACGTGATCCCTGCAGCTTCCTCTCACTGCCACATCCACACAAGTGAGCCATTCTCCACGCCTGCACCCTCCTCCCCCTTTAATTCCTGGATAATTTCCTTTGCTCCTGGTGCAGAATGGGAACACTTGCATATGCACAGTTTAAATTATACATCTCTAATTACACCCTGTGCCTCGGTGAAGAATGTAAACTCAGAGCCCCAGTGGGCTCCRGGGGCTCTAATTGCAGGGCAGAAGTCACTTAAATTCACATTAACTTTTCGCTGGAGCCGGCACGGAGTTTTCAGCCCTTGGATCCCACGGGAGCACAGGGAAGGACCCCCACCCTTCAGCACTTTGCGGGGCTCAGTGCAGGGGGGACACAAGAGACAAAAACCCAAACAGCAATATTGCAGGATTAAGCACCTCAATGGCAGATTCTGCTAAACAGACTTGAAAACCTGGTTTCTGATCCCAGAAAGAGCCCTGGATGCAGCCACTGTGCCAGGAGTGGTGTAGGATCTCTGATAGTGGCACAGAGCTGGATCTGCCCAGGGACCAGGATGGTTCCCACCCCATCACCTCCGTCCATCATGGCAAGCACAAATCACCAGATCCACCCAGAAAAGCAGGGAAACCCAGGAGGAGCTCAGCAACAGTTTGGGGAAGGCAATGCAATGGAGAATCAYGGAATCCAGGGATAATTTTCCAGACACAAGACAGGACTTGGCCAGCACARTGCAGCCAACACCTCCCCGAGCCTGAAGGCCAAAGCTGAGCCCTGGGGTTTCAGGTTCCCTGTGCAGCCCAATTCCTGCCTCCATCCTACGAAAGCATGAGTCTGGGAGGACAATTTGGGATGGATCCATTGGACCCTGTTGGGTGTTGGAGAGCGGACAGGAAGAGGCTGGAGTATGGAGCAAGGACGTCTTTCCACATTTCCTCTCCAGCAGAAGCTCAGATGCCTCCATGAGCCTCCACGCTGGGATACTCCAAACAGCACACTCAGATCCCTCCAGAAAGCAGGCTCCAAGTTCATCATCTCTTTCCAAACACCTCTGTGCAATCAAGTCTCTCGCCTGAAACCCCAGCAAACATTTTCCCAATCAGAAAGTGCTTGGGCCATTTGCTGAGTTATCACCTCTCCTGCAGTGGGATCCCGCAGTGGGATGGAGCCGTGCATCCAGCTGGGATGGTGCATCCAGCTGGGATCTGCTGGTGGCCGTTCCAATGGCAGCACTGTCAGCACCAAGCCCCATGCAAACACCTGGGACTGTGGAGAAACGTCCCCGACAGCCTGCACGAGTTCTGTGGAATCCAAACAGGACGGACCTGAGCTCAGCTCCCCATAAAAATACATCAGGAGCGAACTCCGGCAGAAGGCTCAGCAGCCCAGTTCTCCCAGGCCAGAAGCGCCGGTTTGGGGGTGAAATCAGTGGATACRTCCCAGCTCACAGCCCTGAAGCAGCTCCTTGAACAGTTTCCCAGCTTCCCAGCTCTGTGTCATCGGTTGTTCCACCTTGAAGAGACTCATCCACTGAAGGAGAAGGGAGCAGYCTGTAAAAACCAGTCCCTGTGAGGCCTCACGAAGTCTGATTTATAAATAATTAACTAATTGTATCAAAATGAGGTACCAAGCAAGCGTGGCTTGAGTGGGGTGAACCAGGAGATCCCACAAGGGCAGCAGTTCCTCCAGATAACTATGGAGACGTTCCATCCACACACAACAAAAATATTCAAGGTCCAAAGAGGGAGCAGCTGGAGCCACAGGGATGGACAAAGGGACACAGCTGAGCATCCTTCTTCCCACTCCACACTTRGACACAAAGTTTCTTCTTGTTCTGCCCGTGGAAATGATGAGGGATAAAGTAGCTTTGAGAAACCATGTGGAAAAATGAGGCAGTTGCTTCAGGGAACCACAAAAAGGGGAAAACGCTTGTAAAACCCATGGTGATGTCTTGGAATGGCCTCTGGAAACAAGGACATGAGCTGCCATGTTCCCTATAAATCCACAATGGGTGAGGCTGGATGTTCCACATGGCTGGTTAGGCTTTCAAAAGTCAAAATCCCAAATTCCCAAATCCGTCCAAATGGCAGAGAGTCCAGAGTTTGATGTGAACACATAGGACAGAGTGATGTGAGAGCAGCAGGTCCCYGATCCATCAGGAAGAATTCCTCCAGTGCAGTTCCCTGTGAAGCTCAGCGATGGAGAGCTACTCCTCYTGCTCTATTTCCCGCTTTCCCAGTGGAAGAAACCCCAGCAGAAGGCTCCAGGCTCAGCTCAGCCCAGCCCAGCTCCAGTGGATCCAGACTGGGATCTGGGTGGCACTTGATGGATTCCCCAGGYGCCTGTGCCACATTTAGGGTGAACCGTGGTGACACCGCCAATCCTTAACTGCTGATGGAATCCAAAGTCAGCAACCCACCGAGGAAAAGRTTAAATCCAAAGGCTGCAGGAGAACTAGGAGAGCCCCGAGCTGGAGAGAGGCAGCAGCAGGAGGCAGAGCTGTGACACAAGGAAGGAAGGCAGGCAGGGAGMTGGGAATACCCATGGAATGGGAAATGGCAGGTCTCAAACAACACTGTCACCTCCCCACACCACAGCAGTGAGGCCCATGCAGTCAGCCCCAGTGATACTGAGCGCACAGGAGCATTTCCCTGCCCTATTCCATTTTGGGTGTATTCACAGGTTGGCCGTAGGACTGGGAGAGCAAAAATAACCTCTAGCCAGAGACTTCCAAAGGCCGTTCCCAGCCCAGAGAGCCATCAGATGCCTCYGCCCTAATGGAGCATTAAGCCCCGGGCTGCTGAGTGATGAGGATTTAACAGTGATACCATTAACCATGTAATTGCTTGTCAATTTAGAGGAGATGCTCAGCCACCATGGAAGCATAGGCAGGACCTCCACTCCTGGAATCCCACACACCCATCCAGCCCAGTGACATAAACCAGGGAGCCAGGACAGATGGCTGAGACCCCCGACAACCCCATGGTCCTGTCTCCAAGTCAGCAGGCAATGCCATGTGCTGTCCCTGCTGCCTCCCCACTGCCAGCACTCAGTGTCACCAGAGCTTTTCTCCCTCCCCTAAATATATTTCAAAGGAAAACTCGGGTTTTGGCAGATGGGAGAYGCTGGAAGTAATACCTGGCAGAAGATGAAGGCAAGGGTCTCTTAAATGGTCAGCCTTGGCCAGAACGAGATGTTTGGTTTCTCTGCTGGATTCCCTCTAGCAGAGCTGCGTTATGATTTGGGCCCCAAAGCACAATTAATGTTCTGAGACTGTAGCGAATCCAAGTCTCTTTCCTTTTATTGCTCTTAATCACTCTTCCATCTGTGCAGCACAGCCCTGCTCCAGCCCCAGCCAGGCACGGCGTGGCCACAGCCCGGCTGCCTTCCCCTCCACCCCCCTCACCCCCAGACCTGCACAAGGTTCGTGTTCCCATCACTTTAGGAGAGGTGGCAGCATCCCACTGGTGCCCAACAGCACGATCCTGATCCTGCTGGAGCCAAGGGACAGACCCTGGCAAGGGGCAGCTGGTGCAGAGCAGYCTCAGCCCAGCCTGGACACCCTCTGGGCTGAAACCCCTCCTGGCACAGGTAAAGCCCTACAGGTCACCCTGAGATGTGCCTCCACATCCCCGGCRTGCTCRGACACTGCCAGAGATCCCTGCAGGAATCCRCAGGTAAGCTGCACTTCAAATAAAACCCCAGCTCCTGCCACCTCCCCTCTCCTCCAGGTCTTTCAAGCCCTTTTACACCCCCTCGGTACCAATACCAAGCCCAACCCACCACGGGCACTGAGCTCCTTTCCCCCAGTTCCCAACCAGGGCTGGCACCCCAGGGGACACGGAGCCACTTCCAGGTCACTGAGCAGAGGCACCCGCCTGCTCCACTGCACACCAACTCCCTGGGGCCTCCGGGAAGCACAGCTTGGTTACAGCCCCTGCTCCTCCTCCTCCWGCTCCTCCYGGGCAGCAGGGCCATGCARMCCCCGCTCAGGGCATCCTGTTATTGGTATTATTAATATTAATATCAGTGTCACTTCCTCGTCAGCCCCGCTGTGGGGACACGAGCCCCCCACCCCGCACACATCCCCCAGCCCCTTCCCCAAGCTCCAGCACATTGGCTGGGGCTGCTGCCAGCGCYGGGGCAGGGGCTGTGCGGGGGGAGCCCACCCCACGCTGTCACACTGCCAGCGGGGCCGGCAGCCGCCTTCCAGCCTTTTTCCAGCCTTCTTCCAGCCTTCTCCCAGCCTTCCCCAGGCAGCTGCGCCGGGAAGGGGCCCTGCAGCCCCTGAAACGCCTGTGTAAGCCAGCCCGGCCCTGTCCCATCCCTGCACAGCACAGGAGGTGCAAGGCTTGGGTTTCACAGCCCCTCCTGCCAGCTCCAGAGCTGCTCCAGAGCTGCTCCGGCCGCATGGTCCAGCGTGGAAAGGGAAGAGCCATGGAGGCTGCTCTGCCAGCACTGCTGATGGCAGGAGGGTCCCTCTGCTCTCCTCCCTGGCATCAGGGCACTGCCAGACCCACACCGTGCCAAAAAGCCAACTGGGATCACCCTGTCCCTACCCACACCCGTTCTGGGCAGGTGAGGAGCTGGTCACTGCAGCCACCCCATGGAGCATCAGGAATCYGACCATCCCACCCCGTGCTCCCTGCTCCAGCAAACACAGTGGGAAAATCCCCAGTCCAAATGCACTGCAGGAAATAAGAATAAAAACCATCACATAGGGGCTGGCTGGGATGGGGTTCAGCACCCCCAAA